GAAACCCAGTCTCCTTGGCCTGGATGATACGGCTTTTCATGATTGGACCTTTGCTTATCTCTCCATCCCTATCAGGTGCCAACTCCCATCCTTAGATCCTGCCATTTGTGACAACATCAATGGACCTTGAGAGCATTCTGCTAAGTGAAGTAAGTCAGAGAAAGACAAATGCCATATGTTCTTACATATATGCAGAATCTAAGAAAGTTGAACTCATACACACACACAATATACACACATAATTATGTGAAGAGACAAAGGTGCTCACCACCTGCAGTTTGGTAATTGTTTTGCAATATATACATGTCTCTAATCATCACATTACACACCTTAAATTTATATATATCATGTTTTAATAAGATAACGCTAGAAGAAAATAGCAATAAAAAAAATTCCCCTCCTCAAAAACTCTAAGCTTAATACTGAGCTACTCATATGCACTTCCCCAAATTCACCATGCTTTCCTACTTTTGGTGCTATTTGCACAATTTTCCTTGAACATTTACCCCATCTTCAATTGGCTAAATCTCATTCATGTGTCATGTCCCACTCTTCTGTAATTGCCTGTAAAAGTCCCTCTTGGACTACAAGCTCGTTGCAAGCAGGGACCATCTACTATTCAGTGTCTCATTGTCACTGCTTATGCTCAGTAATTATGTGTTCCCAATAATTATTTGTTGAGTAAACAAAGTTTCAATGAGATTTAGAACAGGTTTGGTGGGTATGAGGGTGTGGGAAGGGTAAAGTGGACGGGAGGAGCAGTGAAATAGGAGAGTTACAGAGTTCAAGCTTCAAAGGTGAGTCCTTGGTGACTGCAGAGACGAGGGTGGGGCTAACCAAGAGGTAGTTAAAAGTGGAATGGAAGTGAAGCTTCCTGGGGTGGCAAACACAGGGAACCAGTGACCCAGCTTTGGGATGAGTGGCGCTTATGCTGTCCAGGAGAGGTTGGGCTCCGGGTGGGGTGGGGAAGAAGTGTGAGTCAGGTTCCAAAATCCTTTCACAGATGTTGTGATTAACATAGGGAGGTGCCTTCATCTCCTGGCCCAGCTTCAGTGGAGGAGAGAAAGGGAAATGAAAGTGATGAAAGATTTATACAGGACCAGTTTGGTGATGATGTGGCGGAGAACGATGACCTTGCCCTGCGACCCTGAGATCTGTGGACATGTGCAGGAGGGTGAGGGGCCTCTGTGGAGAGGTTTTCCAGATGAAGAGGTGGTGGAATTTCCCAGAATGAGGTTGTGCCTACGAAGAAATATACTCATAGAAAGGGCTTTCCAGAAAGCCTGATAGAAGGATTGACAACATGTCTCCCCAGAGTACATTTATGAGGCCAGATGACATAATTCCTTCCACTTTGGCTTCAGAATTTGTTACAAGCCCCTGCTCCAGAAATTTCTGCCTTCTTGATGCTACAACTCTTAGCTCTAAGGGGCTTATGCCAGTTGAGATTAGGCTGGAAATCCTGTTCTGACCCTTAAAGGAATCAAACACCTGCATGTGGGATTATCCACTTGCATGCATTCTTTTATTCTGTGGGTCAGTAGGTCCTAACTTGTTTTTGTGGACTGTCAGCACATTAAAGGCCTCCCTTTGGAACTACCAATAAAAAGAACTCTTGTCTTAAAAAAAAAAGAAAAAAGCTGTGTGGGTAAAATCCTTATTGAACAAGTTTCAAAATTAGATAAAACTTGCAGTCCACTCACAAGCGAGGCCAGGTACCTCTCTTCCACAGTTAACTAGAGAGAAGCAGAGACAGCCCCAGGGAACAGCCTCTCACCATCTCCTGGACTTCCTTGCCTATCAGCTGATCTCTCTCTCAGCCTAGACAGTCCTTAGACAGCTATGGTTTTACAAAAGCTTCTAATAGGCTTGAGATGAACTGTCCTTCTTGAATGGACTTTACTTTTATTTTGCATGTATTTCATACTTTGTATTTAGGATTTTCGTAAATAGTCACTGGCAAGGTAAGTCTAGTTCTCTTTTTTAGCATGTTCCATTCATTGAGGTTTGCCATCAAGGCTCTAATAAGAATGAGAGTAATCAGCACCCTCCCCCATCCTACTTCCACCTTGTTAGAAATGCAGGTCATGGGTCCCACCTAGAGCAAAGGAATCAATATCTGCATTTCCACTGCATCCCCTGGGAATGCACACGGATGTTGGGGTTTGAGAAGCTGTGCTAAGCCTTGTCATGTACTAGAAACTGCTCCTTCCATTACCTTAGTGTCAGAAACCTGACTGTGCAGCCAGCACCCTCTTCTTTCTAGATCATTCCCCGTGATGTTGATTCCAACAATCCTTTTGCTCATTGTTCCAACCATTTTTACAGGGTCTCTCCCCTCCTAAGGCTCCCCCTTTTCTCACTCAGCCCCCATTTTCTCACTCCCTCCTTATCTGCTTTGGATCCAACACTTGGCCATTATTAAAGTCACTTCCTTGTATGTATCCTCTCCTCCCTTTCCCCCACTCTCTCTCCGTGGCGTTATCTAATGAAAATAACCCTGGGTGAGTCCAACTCCCCACTCTCCCATGCCTGCACCTTCCCAGCAAAATGTGGCCAGTGAAAAACATAGAATAACCTTGCCTACTGGTTCTCTCCTAACCCCTCAAATTTCCCCCTCCTCACTTCAAGTTGAAGACCTTGCTTCCTCTTGCACTGAGAAAATAGAAGCCCACAGAAGGAACTGTCCAGATGTTCCAGCGCCTGGTGCTTCAGGTTCTGGAGTCTGTGCTCACACTCTGCCTGCCCTCTGTTACTGTGTGTGGATGCCGCCTTGCTGGTGTCCAAGGCCAAGCCCTCCACCATGAGCTGCGACCTTCTCTCCTTGCTCACTCAAGAACAGCCCACCAGAAAAGGTGCTCCCACCCCCACCCAACTCCTCCTCATCAAATTTTCCCTTACTACTGAATCACTCCCATCAACACATAAGCAGGTTATAAGAGCTCCCATCCCAGAAACAAAACAAAATAAAATGAAACAAAAACTCTGCTTTGACACCACCTTCCCCTCCAGTTGCCACCCCATTTCAATGCTTCCCTTTAGAGCAAAACTTCATGAAAAAGTTGTCTACACTCATGGTCTCTCTTTCTAGAGCCCTATTGTTTCCAGAGATTTTTCTGGGTCTCATTCTTTCTAGAGACCACTCCAATTGCTTTCCCACCCACCTGTGCTGAAACAGCTCTTCCCAAGGCTGCATTATCTCCATAGAGCTGACACCAATGATCAATCACCAATACTCACCTTACTTGAACTAGCAGCCTCATTTGGAGGCATTGATCCATCCCCCATCCCTGGTCTTCTAGTACATGAAGCTCTCCTGGGTCTCCTCCTGCCACCCCGCTTCTATCTGAATCCTCACTGGTTACTGGTTCCCTGTCATCTCCCTGGCTTCTCAAAGCTGGGGGCCTCAGGCTCATTCTTGGCCTTGCCCTTTATTAACACTCACTCCTTAAATGATGTCATTTGAGTCCTGAGAATTTTCTTACCCTGAGGACTCCCAGAATTCTGTTTCCAGGCTGGACCTCTCCCCACAAACTCTGACTTCTGTATCCAGTTTCTTACTTGGGTGTCTAACAGGCTCAAACTTAATATACCCCCAAATGTATTCCCAAGTTCCTCCCTCTGTTTCTGTTTAAGTCTTCCCCATTTTACCAAATCTATCTTCTAGTTGCTTGAGAACACAAAAACTGTAACACTTCAGAAATTAAACCAAATCCTGTCCGTTCTGCCTTTTAAATGTGTCTGGAACCTGAACACTTCTTCCCTCCGCTGCCACTACCATCCTGGACCCAGCCTGTCTTCTCTCAACTGAATTATCTCAAAAGCCTTTTAACTAGTATCTTGACTGAAACACTCAGACCCTTCAGGCTGGTCTTCACATCACAACTAGAGTGATCCTTTTAAAATGCCAGACCACGTCCTTTCTCTGCTCAAAACCATCCAAATAGCTGCCCTGTCTCATTCAGCGTGAAAAACAAAGTCCTGACCTCGGTCTACATGCTCCTCCTCCCCCCCCCCCCCCCCCCCCCCCCCACAGCCCTCATCCCAGTGACCTTGCCTGGCTGGGCTCCAGGGCATCCCATCTCAGCACCCTGGTCCTTGCTGTTCCCTCTGCCTTTCCATACTCATGGCTCACAGCAGGTTTTTTCCTTCCCTTCCCGCAGCTGCTCCTTGTAAGAGTGCTATAAATAACAATACCCACACTTCCCCCTCCCCCCTTAGCCCGCCTGTTGCTTTTCTCCTTAGCACTGAAAACCACCCATGTATGTGTTGGTTTGTTTATTGTTTGTCTCAGGAGCAGCAACAGTTTTGTTTATTGCCCTACCACCTAGAATAGTGCCTGGCACACAGTAGATGCTTCAAAAATATCTGTTCAGTTATAAATTTAAAACAAAGAAAAAGAAAAACGAAAATATGCATGTATGGCACTTTTATGTACCAGACTCTGCTGTCCAAGTTTTGCAATGCATTACCTCGTTCATCCTCATAAGCCTATAGAACTATATTATTATACTTTTGTACGTGTGTGCATGAAGGAACCCAGACCTAGGGACATGAAATAGCCAAGGTGACTAAACGGTGGAGCGGGGGGTTAAATCCATGCTGTCGAATACTATTAATCTGGATCATTCCATCACTTTCAATGCTTTCTCTCCGAGGCTGCTAAAATGAGAACTATCTGTCCCTTGCAAGCTTGACAGAATGGGTCTGCACAAAGTCAGCCCCTGGCTTTAGCAGAATGCTCTGTTAAGAACTGAGAAAGTGGTCGTAAAAAGTGGACGTAGGATTCCTCCAAGAAGAGTGCTTAGACCAGAAGGGACTGAGCACAACATTTAAGTGGGAGGTGAAAGAGGACTCCGGTTCTCTGCGTCCCCTCCCGCTTTGGCCTCCGCAAGAACTCCAGCGCCCTGAGTCCGCCCGGGAGCCCGGGGGCGCTCTAAGCCCAGGGGGTCTGGGGAGGCGTTGGGGCGCCGCCCGACGTCGCGCCCTCGGCGGCTGCGCAGTGCGCACGTCAAAGCCGGGCTAGGGCCGGGAGCGGGCAGCGGGGAGCGGCGCGGCCTGGGAGAGACCGAGCGTCTGGGAGCCGGGCAAACGCGAAGGCGAAGGTGAAGGCGGCGCCGGGCCCCGCAGCCGCAGCCGGAGCGAGCGAGCGCGTACAGCAGTGCGGCGGCCGTCGTGGGAGCCCCTGGGTCGCCGTCCGCCCGCGCAGCCGCCGCCGCGGGAGCCCGTCGCCGGGAGCAGGAGCAGGCGGAAGACAACGGAGGGGCAGAGCGCCCGAGCCGCGCCGCGGGGACCCAGCAAACAGCCCGAGGCGGCGGCGGCCGACGACGGGGACGGCGACGACTCGGAGGCGGAGAGGGAGCCGCCCGGCCCAGCCCCGTGAGTGACCCCGGCCCGGCCCTGCTCGCGGCGCGGACGCCCGCCCGGTTTCCGCCCTCCCTGCTCGGCCCGTCACCGGCCCCGGGGCTGCCTCCATTTTCGCGGGTGGCTGAGGCGGCGGCTGCGGCTCCGGCCCGGCAGGCGGCGGGAGCGGCCCTGCCGGCCCCTCTCGGAGCCCTCGCCGGCGCGGCGCCTGGGAGCCCCGCGCTCTCCCGCCGCGCTCCGCGGGCTGGCAGCGGGGGTGTCGGCTGCCGGAGCCGCGAGGGCAGGGAGCCTGGGGCCTAGCCAGCTGTCACTCGCCCGGTCCCCGGGCTCCGGCCGCCTATGTCTTAGCCCCTGGTAAACTTCCTGTTGTCGGGAGGCAGGTAGCATCGCAGTGATCTTCGTTTCAGGAAAATGCCTACCTGATTTCTGGTTAGGAATTGTGCGGCCGGAGCGTTCCCGGGTTCGGTTGAACCAACTCGAGCGTTGACTGCACGCAGCGCCGTGGTCGGTCCGCGCCGGAGGGATTCAAAGGCGAACCGGGGCCCGCAGTCCCCTCCCCCGAGGAGCTTACTCTCTGGTGTGGGAGATAAGACCAGTACACAAATAACCTTGATACCAGGAAAGGGGTGATAAGTCCTCTGAAAGAACTACCAAGTGCTAGGAAGCCACCCAGGGAAGACCGGACCAGTCGATCACTTCCGCCTAGCAGCAATCTGGAAGGCTTCCTGGGCAAGGCGGTGCCAAACCAGGTCTTGAAGGCCCGATGGGATTTAGGAGGTTGAAGAAGAGTCTCACGGTATGTGGAGGGGGAGCAACTAGAGGATAAAGGTAAAAAGGCATCGACTAGAAATTAGTGGATAATTAGGTTTGTTGCCTAGGGCCATGTTGGGGAGATGGGAGTGAGTAAAGAGGTAACTGGGGACCAGATCCTTGGATGCTGTGGAGAAGCTGTTTGAGTGGCATTGTAAGGGAAACTTAGAGCTCATTTCTCAGTGACTCATGAGCCCGGAAATGTAAGCTGGGGGATATTGAAGGCGCTGTTGCGAGGGAAAGGAAAGGAGGCCCAGTAAAGAGTTGACATTGTGTGCCTGTAATATAATGCAGTTTGAGATCAATTTGACAGATTCCCGGATATTCAAATAAATCTGTGGCCAAGCTAAGCAAAGTACCTTTTGCAAAAAGCTTCATTAGATGTCAGGAGGCTCTTAAGTAATGGAAAGAAGTGTAAAAAATAAATTGCTCTGCACATAAGGAGTTTCTTCTGTTGGTGCAGCTTACTAAAATGCATCAAAACTTATTGACTAGACTTTGGAATTGTTGAGCTGAACATCTTTGAGATGGCATTTGTGTAAAACATTCTAAATTGATGGTTAGAAAAACTAGATTGGTGCTAATATTCTGGGATGTGAAGTTGGACATAGAACTTTCTTATAGAAAGGTAATAATTATTTTAATGAAAATCCTTATGAGAGCCATAAGTGAAAGTCTTAGTTTTATCTTGTACTTTTTTTTTCAAATTACTAGCAAGTAATTAGCAGCTGTGTTTGAAATCGAGAATATATGATCTGTGGAAGCATATTAGAACCTGTGTTGGTTTGTAAGCACCCATTTCTTGTTTGCTTTTATGACAAATGAATGTCAACTTTTTTCAGTTAGAAATAAAAACTTGTAAAGTGCAGGAAGTACTGGAAATTTTTAAAAAATTATCTTCAATCTTACCACTTTGATTTGGTTACTGTTAACATTTTTGCATATTTCCTTTTCAGTCTTTGCTTGTTTCTTCTTTACGTAATGAAATTAACTGCATACACATAAACACTCACATATATAATTTAAGCTTTTCTTTTTTTTGTCATTAAATATCTTCACATAAAAATGTTTTTACCCAAGTAAAGGAAATATTAAATGTATTTCTTTTATGGCATTGCATTATTTACCTCAGATAAAGTGCAGTAGTCATATTTAATAACTGCTACTGTGAACAATTTTTTCCACAGGTTTCTCATTTGAAGTATCTTTATTAACTTCTCTGTAAGATTTAGATCCTATTGCTTGTGGAATAAAGATGGGATTCCTGTTGTCATTAGGTACGGAAGAGATCACACATTTCTGCAGTCTGAACGGATGGAACTTTATAAAAAGACACTTTAAAAAGGGTATTTCAGAAAAGGGACACTATAAAAAGACTTTGACAGTGGTATAGTATCTCCCATATACTGTGATGCATCTCCCCTTTGCACACCCTTTCCACCACCACTCCTGCTTATAAATAGTATAAATAATATAAAATTAGGGCCATCCATGTAGGTTAACTACTTACTGATCATGACATCACAAAGATCCAGGCTAGATGTATTTAGTTTTCCTATTGGTATTTCTTTAGTAAAGTATAGGGGCTTTGGCAAGAAATAGTTTGGTGTTATAACAAAAGGATCTTTTTGTTTTTAATTTCAAGGCTGTTCACTGTATTAGCATTTCAGACTGCAGATTCTTGCCTAAACTAGTTTTTTCCCTTTTGCTTTACATTCTAAAATGTTGTTTATGAGGTCTGTGTTTCTACTTCTAATGGTGAATTGGAAATGCAGAGTTAGACTGTACACCTTTTCTAAAGTTAATATAAACAAATAACTAAAGTCCAGGTTAAGTATGGGGTTTGGTTTTATAATTTGCTTTTATTTGAATCTTTATTTGTATGTCACAAATCTGTATACCACAGGCATCCTTTATTACTTTTTAATATTTACTAAAGTTTTTTCTCTTTGATCAACTTTTGTATATTACAGATTTCTGTAATTACTACCATACTTCCCCCAAAACCATTTTTCCAGAAGGATTTATCACTGGTCATTCACATTTTCACCATCTGCCATAAAGATAGACAAATCCAAATTGTGTCCCTCTCCACCCCCACAATATGCAAAAAAGATCTAATATATAAAGGCAGAATTTTATTTCAACAAGTGCCTTCTGGTCACCTTTATGGTGGTGTTTCTGTTTTAAAAATCCATTTTCCACTTTTCCATAGCTCCTTTTAATTAGGAATTTAATTTTATGGATGTTGTCTGGTGTTACAGAATAGGAATTTTTGTAATTGGTCAATTAGGATGGATAATGGCAAAACTTTGTTGTGTGATAAAATTTTGGGAAAAAAGATGAAATCTCTGAACCACTGGATTAAATTGCTTGTGACTTGTTTTGTTGTTTAATTAGTGAGGAGTAAAGATCTTGTATTTGTGTGAATGCGTATCAAGCCAAGTAGTCTAAAAATTGCATAACAATTTAGCCATCAGTCTGTATTTTGGTTTTTACTAGAGAAAAGACTGGTATTGGAGCCGTCCTGTTTAAAGAAGGAAATGACCTGTATGAGAGTTCATTCTTTGTGTGCCTCACCATTCTGGACCCTAGTTGGTACTTTTATCAGTCCAGAGTATGGTGCAGAGCAAAATGAGGCAGATATTTCTACTACCGGCATTTATAGAGTAGACTAGTTGGGAGTAAATGTTTGTTTGCTTTGATTCTTAGGCCTTCCAAGGATTGTGAGAAGAGTTCTTGCAGGATTGGTGGCAGAAGCTACACTGATGGTGATGAAATTAAGGTTAATAGCTTGTTGCCATCAGCATTTTTTGGTAGGTGGATGATGTGTGTATCTTCTCCTATAACCTCACTGAGCTTCTGACCCCACTGTGCTTTCATCTTTTCTCTTGAGATGGAAGGGGGTGAGGGGGCCACAGTATTGTGGTTTAGTAGCAGCTGTGATGTTAAGCAGGCAGAGGAAGGAAGAATGGCATGCAGAGAATTGCAAGAGGTCAGTCAAGTGTGAAGTGGCCCCAAAGGAGGAAGGTAAAGCCTGCCCTGCCATTTAAGTTAGTGTCCAGCACATACCTGTTTGCTGATCCTTAATTCATTGTGTCTGACTTGAGCATTTGATACTCATAGTACAGTGTTTAACTTGTAGGTTTTTGTTTGCTTGTTTATATGGATTTATGCATTTTCAAATGCATAGTTACAGAGATTGAGAAAAGCTAGTTTTCTAATAAAAAAACAGTATTTAGTCTAGTTTTACATAATTATCCCTTAGGAATTTTATCCAGCAGATAAATTGTTGATAACCAAGGAAGTATACGATAATGTTAAAACATTATACTTTGATTACTTTGATAAAATGAGAAACAAAATAAACATTTTGTAGCTTGATCTTAATTAAGTTGCTATTTTATAACTGTCTAATGAACTGTAGCTTGCTCTTTTACAGGGTACTGTTAACATGTTAGTCACTGCTCTCTCCATCCACAGATTATGTATTAGCTGTATTTAGGCGCAAGGAAGAAATAGCATGAACAGGTTTCTATTTACATCTCTATAGGTAACGCCCACTCTGGGATTTATAGAATTCTGAATGGCATTAGTGGTTAAAAGTATAGGTACAGCCAGACCCCCTGGATTGTTGTACTCTCACCTCTCCTATGGTCTCTGTAACTTCAGGCAAGTTCCTTTCCTTCTCTGTAGGTTAGATACCTTGGATATGAGTGATATAGACCATACCCGAGAAGACTGTAGGGGGATTAAATGAGTTACAATGTCTGAAGTACTTAGAACAAGGCCTTGCACATATCAAATGCCAGACATAATAAGTTTTGTGGTGATGCTGATAATAAACTGTTTAAGGTAAAAGAAATGTGGGAACTTAAGAATCCCTCTAGTTGGAATGATTATGGGCATACTGAGGTCCACTAGCTAGAGCAGTGTGTGGCTAAGTTTGGGCTGTACCTCGTGGAGCTTTCTGGAGTCACTTGCTTAGGGTTGTGTGGCTTATTAGCTGTAGGGCTGATCAGGAGCCTAAGTTCTCTTCTTCATCCAGTTTTATTTGAAAGAAATTCAGTTTTGTACTTCATACAGTAATGTCTTCTCTGAACCTTTTCAGTAACATTTACAAACATTTACTGTATTCATGCATTAAATGTTGTTTGGCACAGTCTTTTTTTTAAGGTGTTAAAATGTTAATGTTTATAATCACG